ATGAACACACTCTTTTTAAGAATACGTTTGATTACAATACTGTCTACTGTCTACCGTCTACCGTCTACCATAGCTACTACTTCGTAAGGCAACAACATCGTAACGCAGTGACGATAATATTTACATGGTTCTGTACATGGATTTTGTTCGCCTTCTCCGCACTGGCAAGTGCCTCCGTTAAAGCAACCTGCGGATGTCCTGCATGTGCAAGTATAATTGAGCAGCCACCAAGCAAACTACCTCCACCAAAAGAAGTGGCACAGTAGCACTCCCTTCCACCGTGGAGGCTGGCATACTGGGGGGGGGGAAAAATTACTCATATAAGATGGCAATGTAAAACATAAATATGTTTTGGGTATCATGACAAACACGACATACCCTGCGACCATCGCGGCGGCACAACGCAATGCATCATCCTTTGACCGACGCCCTCGAGCTGACTCTATTTGTCAAGTCTGGCTTATAGGGTCTTAAAAAAGTAAGTACCCAGTCCCTATGGCAACTGCAATACAAGTTTGAAGCAAATCCATCAGCTCCTCCTGAAGGGTGATCCCCGGCAATGTAAGCATTGGTCCTATCAGTACCGCCGCAAGACCCGCTGCAGCCATTGTCACATTTGCCATCATCTACTTGAGCTGTCGTGAGCGCCTGAAGTACTCAAGCCGGCAAACCTGTAGCCAAGACTTGCGCACTGGTCAATGCAATTATCAACATTCCAAGCTGCTCCTAGTAACAGATCCATCTTCGGAGAAGCAGGTGTTTCGACTAAACAACCTTGATAAACAGTAGAAGGCATCTCGCTTGGAATCTATAGGAGACAAATAGGAGACAGTAAGCGTCTTTCCGTTGGCTATGCAACAACGAGAACAGTCACATACCATGCTTGGAATCATTGCATGCTTGGGAGGTGCTGGATAAGAGGTTTGGATCACTTATTCAACAAAAGACGACAGCGAAAAGTAATGTGGACAGTATGCTGCAATTTACCGTCAATCTCCTTCGAAGGCTCGAGGTGAGATTGCAAAGACTGCACATTTATTCATAAAAAAGTCAAAATCAAAATGATAAATAGTAGTAGACACTCGGCCGGTTCGAAAAAAAGAAACTGGGGGCTACTTGGTGAAGAGTGGTCGCATTCATCAACAGCGATGCGCCGTGCTGGTTCTGTATATGCTGTTTTGGTTGCTGTCTCCACACTGGCAAGTACTTCCATCCAGGCAACCTGCGGGTGTGCTGTATCTGCATGTTCTTGTGCAGCCAGAGAAAAACCTAACTCCATCAACAGAATTGCCACAGAAGCACTCTCTTCCGTTTTGGAGACCGGCATACTTTGATATAACGAATGATTCATGTAAGATGACGGTGTGAAACGAAAAATATGATTCACGACGCACAGAGCTTACCCTGTAACCGTCGCGGCGACACAACGCAATGCATCCTTTGACCGACGCCCTAGTGCTGACTCGATTTGTCAAGTCTGGTCTTGTGCCAGTCAAAGTGAGTACCCAGTCTCTATGGCAATCGCAATACAAGTCCGAAGTAAATCCGTCAGCTCCTCCCACAGGGTGATTACCGGCAATGTAAACACTTGTCCTAACAGTACCACCGCACGACCCACTGCAATCATTATCACATTCGGCATCATCCACTTGAGCTGTCGTGTCAAACGAATTGCCACAATAACAAGTGTGATCGGCAACACTTGAAATACTCAAGCCGGCATACCTGTAGCCAAAGCTTGCGCACTGGTTTATACAATTATCAACATTCCAAGCTCCTCCTAGTAATAGATCCATCTTCGGAAAAGCAGGAGTCTCAACGAAACATCCTTGATAAGCAGTAGATGGCATCTCGCTTGGAATCTGTATCGAAGGAGTTCAAAATCACAGTGAGCATCGGTCCATTGCTATGCGACAACGAGGACAGCGAGAACGGTCACTTACCACGCTTGGAATCATTGATGGACTTTCCGAAGGAATCACGGATGGTATATCCGAAGGCGGTACACTCTGTACAATTTGGAAAGAAACATAAACATCAGTCAGGAGATAAAACACCAAGTTTGACGATGCAGTATGCCTTCACATACCGGAATGGTGGACGGTAGCATAGAAGGAAGACTACTTGGAACCTCACTGGGCGAGTCACTTGGTATTGCGCTTGGCACCGAACTTGGCTGCATACTCGGTATCGCACTTGGAATGCTACTCGGTATCGCACTTGGAATGCTACTCGGACTGTCGCTAGGAATCACACTGGGCACATCACTTGGAACCACACTGGGAGAGTCCGATGGAACGTCAGAGGGGACTTCCGATGGGACCATACTCAATGAAGGAACATCACTTGGCATGCTACTAGGTACCATACTCATCGACGGAGCTTGACTTGGTCCCGGAAACTGGACAAAGAATCCTGTCTGTGCCCGATAACTCACGATGATGGGGACATCCAACAAAACAGCTCCGTTTCCACCATCTGCCCCCCTGCGTTTGACGTATACCTTGTCTGGAACGAATATAGCGGGTAGAGCACCGATCCGTACAAGCTCAAAGATTCCTGCCACGACTTCTTCCATATGAATCTCCACAAAGTCCAAGTCCAAGCCATCGCCACCAACGCCATCTTGAGTCCTTCTTCGAACGCTACTACCCGCGGACCCAAATACGGCCTCTTCTTCTGAACAACCATCGCATGTCACCCATGTCTCAAATACCAAATCCAGTACCGACGCTTCATCACCACCGGGAGGTACCGAAAACGTTTGGTCCGCGAGATCGGCATTTGTCATCTCCCGCTTATACTCATCGACACATATGCCCTCTTCGGTGTTCGGACCCTTCGTCAATGCGTTGTAAGATGATAACACGATTGGCTCGATCAACGCAGCTTCCTCTTCCGTAAAGACCCTTTCGAAACCCTCAAAGGTCATCCGCAGCTCGCCTGGGTAGAAGTTGGGGTCGAATAGTCCGCATGCGGATGGTTTTGGAACATTCGCCAAGAGGTCCCCATTTTCGTCGGTTTCGATGATGATGCGCACGTTCAACAAAGGCTCCAATGCTGTGCCTTGTCCACCTCCATTTCCGTTGGACCCGGCTTGGGTCGGAGGAAGGATTGATACCTTGTTTGGAAGAAGGCTAGATGAAAGAGCATCGCTATTGATCAGGCCCACCATCCGAGCAATAATATCGCGGAGAGCGACCTCCATCATCCGAGAATCATATGAAAACCCGTTGCCATTCTCTATTTCATCAGCTGTCCCAAACAACGGAATCGCATTCGAACATCCATTGCAGATAAGCCATGTCTTGAAAGTCATTTCGAGTGATGATACTGTATCATTACCTTGGGCCCTGATAAACTGCTGGTCTATGAGCCGTGCCCTTGACATTTCTCGTTGGTATCTGTCAGAGCATTCTGGCTGCGCAATTCTACCGATGACCACACCGTTGTAGGTTTCCAGCATCAAGTCTTCGATAACTCTGACTTCATCAGTCGCAATTGTTCGGGCGACGCCTTGCAGTGACAAGCGCCAGATTCCTGGATAGAATTCTGGATCAGATGAACCACAAACCGAAGTTCGAGGAAATATAACCTCTCGACCATTGCTTGACGTGGGGTCTTCGTATCCGATCGGCAAATTCAAAAATATTAGAGGCATACTAGCTTCGCCTTCAGAGTCAATGTTTGATGAAGGCGGTTGACCCTTAAGTGCAATCTTCGACGGAATGAAGGACTCGGCCAGCTCCCCAGAGTCAGCGAAGTCAACAATCTTTCTTGCGACCTCTTTCAAGAGCTGATCGAGGAGGTCAAGATCCAATTTCACATTCAAGCTATCCTCCCCATTTTGTAATCTACGGCTAGCTGATGGGACTTCAGCATTTGCATACCGACCGATCATGGGTAGATCATTGGGACATCCGTTGCAAATCACCCAAGAATCCAGCGTCACGTCAAGTGATGACGGATTCTCGTCATTCTCGGCATTGAAAACTTGATCGAACATTGTCGAATTCTGCATCTCGCGCTGATACGCATCAGCGCAATTATTGCCTTCTTGATTGATGCCCCTAGTAATGAGATTGTACGAGTCCACCACCAAGGTTTCCACCAATTGCTGTTCTCGAGCATTAAACCCTCGCTCGAATCCTTCAAATGATAGACCAATGGCACCGTTATGAAAGACGGGAGACTCAATCCCGCAAGTCGATACTATCGGAAACGGTACCGGTGTCGCAGTTAATACATTTGATACTGCAACACTGGAAGCGACTACAACTGTCGTACCCACAACAGCGGCTGTTACTAGTTGAGTGGCTGATGCTGCGACACCTGCTGCTGCCATGGCACTTGTTGCGGCACCTGCTGCAGCAGCCCCGGCTGCAATCCCAGCGGATACTCCTGAAGCGGCGCCTCCTGCTGCGCTACTCGCCGCCTGAGTCGCCATCATGGATTCCATACCCCCCCTGAAAGCGACCGAAAAAAAAACAGTTAGGAAATAGGGAATAAGCTATTAGACGAAATCAAAGAACACAAATGTACTTACGGTGCTGGGGCAGTCGGCCCAGTTGTTGGTCCCGTTTGTGCCTGTCCGTGCATATTGGCATTCCCATCCACGGGAATCTCGTCTGGATTCACCATTTCTGGATCATCATGACCATCGTGATCGCGATTGTTCTGTCTTCTGCCAGATCTCTTTTGGTTCCCCCGACATCCTTCGAAGCATTTTATAATCCATCGTTTTGACATCATGGCGACGCTGAATATCAAGATAAATGCCATCGTAATGGTGTGTCCGATATCATCCTCCTCTACGGCCTCGGATTCTTGAGACGTGGTTTCCTCAAAAGAATCGGTTTCAGAATCGGCCCCAGATGCTTCTTCTCTTGCTTTCCGAGCACCGCGAAATCGGTTTTGGATCTTTTGTGCGGCCTTGTTCAAGTACACTGCAGACCTTTCACTCTCACCGATACCAATCGGCTCTTCGGAGGGTTCAGTAGAAGAGCTAAAACTAACATGTCTTTCAATATTTCTTGTACCACTGTTTCCGTGTCTTTCACTGCTCATGCTTCTGCTATCGCTACTCCCACTTCTGCTGTTACTTTTTCGTCGCCGAGACTGATGGTTGCCTTTGCTCCTGCTACTTTTGTTGTTGCGCTTGTTTCGATTATGTCCAGAATTCTTTGCATCCTTCTTGATTGGAACGATATTGCTATCCCAGCTGTTATCTGAATCAGACAGCGAGCGAGAGCTGCTTCCTAACAACTTGCCCCTGCTGTTGACATTACTGTTGCGCTTGTGTCCATGTTGTCCATGGTGCCGCCTGCGACGTCTATCATTGTCTGCCTCCTGAATTGGAAGAATGGCATCGTCCCAGTCATTGTTTGCATCTAAATCAGACAGCGAGCGAGAGCGGCTGCCTTGTAGCTTGGGTTTTCTGCTACCGTGTCTGCGCTTTCGGTGCGAATGCCCATCCGCAGATCCTACTTCCTCAAATTCGTGATTTGTTGGAACACCCACTCCCAATCCAGCCATCGAAACACATAGTGAAGTTGTTGGCATGCTACGTGTACTATGAGATAGTTCATCACTTGACTTCCGTCGACTATATTGACCATGCATATCGCCTTCCCCTTTGACGTCTTCAACAGAAATATCTTCCTCCCATTCGCTACCAGAGTCATCTGAGTGATGGTAAGAAGGGTCATTCAGCTGAATTTGGACGGGTGGCGTCAGTTGACTTTTATCTTCGTCCCCAATTGGAGCATCATTGCCCCAGCCTGCCTCTGGATCAGAATAGACCGTTGGCATCGTTCTTATACGTCGTACTTCTATTGTGAACGGCTTGCTGTTATCGAGGATGGGTGTTATAAAGGAGTCGAGTATAGAAGATATATTCCAACGTAGACCGCAGGCACACTGTTCGATTTCTTTGACTACATTGTGTTACAGACGGACAAAGGCCGAACGGCCTTTGACCGTCAAAAGTTGTTGTCGATGCGCCCAGGCAAATGATGCCCAGTTTATCGACTGAGATTGAATTCACCCACTTGTGTCGTGGTAATTCAACCGAGTTTTATGCGGATGCGCATATATGAATATAGTTTTCAAATCAGCTGATGATTGGGCAGCTTTTTTGTTCGCACGCGCCATTTCAATTTCGAAACTTGAAAATTTCTCACCATATTCTTTGTTTGCAACACTTATGCCTTCGAAGAACACAATTCACTTGGGCCTTTCAAACGAATTCCTAGTCGTTTGTGGTTCCTCGATCAAAAATCGCGAATGAGAAACAGGAAATACCGTAAGTGAAATATGTACCAACGTAGATATTCTCCCAGCTTCTGCACAAACTTTCATAAAACTGAACCAACCGTACGGCATTAATACGGTACTATATATCCTACAGTGGAAACTTTGCAACATACGGTACCGATATGGCCGAGGCATCATTCGAGGCCACCTTTATTGCTCCTTCTACTTGAACTACTGTCTTGGAAGCAGAGGAATGACGACTTGGTTCATGTGACAGAAAACATGAAGGCAGTGGACTGAAGAACATAATCAACAACGCATTGTTCACGAATGTCTTCTCCGCAAAGCAGACGAGTCTGATTTGCTGCTGGATCAAGGACAATAATGCTAAAAAATGCGGATCGACTCTAATATTCCACTTTCGATCTTTAGTGCAGGCTTTTGGCACATATTCATTGCATCAACCATGACGGCACGATACGCGACATTGGCCACTCTCGTAGTCGGAGAGCGGATTCTCCTACTTTTTCCAATGATGGGATGTCAATCATTTTCAAGGAAAGTATCACAGTCTATAAAATGATATATGGATGGACTTTGCTCTTCTACAACTGGGCCAAGACAACGATCCACATGCTGGGGAGCTGGGGAGGTGCCTGAAGTCCGGTCTGGATCGCTCTTTAGTAGTGTGGACAATGTGATGCCACTATGGCCGAAGGGGATACTTTGGGATGATATTTCTACTGTATCATGTACCAAACAAAATTGAATGTAAGGTAATGGATTCATGCATGATAAAAATACCCCAGAGTTTGTCTACACTCGGGTATATAGGAAAAATGAAACTGGAGGCAAATTGATACAGCAAGGTCGCACTCATGGGCAGCCATATGCGGTGCTCGTTTTGTACACTGAGTTTGCGACGTCATCACCGCATATGCAAGAACTGCCTCCGTCAGGTTCATTGCAACCTGCGACCGTCTCATATGAGCAGGGCGTTATACAGGCAGACGAAAAACGATCTCCTTCGGTAGAATTGTCGCAGTAGCAATCCAATCCGTTGTTGAGGACTGCATACTGTTTAAGAATGGATCAATATTTAGAGAACGATACATAAATATGTACTGATGATCATGAGACACAAAGCTTACCATGTAGCTGTCGCGGCGGCATATATATATATATATATATATATATATATATATATGTATATATATGTATATATATGTATATATATATGTATATTATAATGAGATATGAGCAGAAAAATTGCAGATGGCTCTTTTCCAATGGCACAAATAGCTACTCGCATATATATTATGGTGTAAAACAAAAAGGCCCGAAGAATAAAAAAGACGGGCAACTTTTGCAGGCAAAGTTTACCCGCCAAACGGCGGGAGGCGCGTGAAATCCAACAACGAGTGTTGAGCAAAATGCGCAAATTCAAATTTTGCAGAATCACCAAGTGATAATCGTTCGCTTGGAGCGGAGCAGCGTGGAACAAAGTGAATTCTCCATTCTCGATCTATTCCACAGATCATTGGCACATTCTACGAAACAACCCCGGTCCAACACATAGCGCAGTTGGAAGATTCTCCGACAAATACACAACCATGGGCTGTACGCAGGCAGGTCCAGATGTTGATCCACATTGAACATGCTGGAAACGTGCAGGACGAGATCTGGATCACTCACTGAACAAAGGTAGCGTAGAGAACGGTGCACATTAAAATTGGTCACCGATACCCTTTGAAACCCCAGGTAATATCTTTTTTATCATTGTCTACGTTTCATGAGTTTTGAAGCGATGATTGACTACCAACAGCCAAGTCCGCCCTTCGTTCTGTATACGGAACTTGAGACGGCACCACCGCAAGTGCAAGAGCTGCTTCCGTCAATTTCATTACAACCTGCGACCGTCTGGTAAGTGCAGGGGATTCCGCATTCATTAGGATTAGGGTCTGCATTTATATCATCGCCACAGTAGCAATCGCTTCCGTTGTTGAGGGCGGCATACTGTAAAAACCAGAAATAATGACACATGTGAGATGACAGTTGGGGAAATCTGTACTGGGTATGATGACACACAAGGCTTACATCATAACCATTGAAACCGCACAACGCAATGCATCCTTTGACCGACAAACTCGTGCCGGCTTGAAATGTCAAGTCTGGTGCATTGGTTGCGGATGGCATTTGCACCACAAGTTATTCGGAAATGCATAACTCCCTTCCGCTGGGGGTTCGCCAGCCATGTAGACACTGGTCCTACCAAACCCAGCAGCAACTGGACCGCACAATCCGCCGCAATCAACAGCACCGCACGATCCGCCGTAATCATTGTCGCATTCGAGATCATCCACTTGGTCTGCCACATCATACGAGTCGCCACAGTAGCAAATTGTACCTGTATCCGTACTCAAGCCAGCATAAATGTAGCCAAAGTTGCCGCATTGAGTTATGCAACTATCCACACTCCCAGTTGCTCCAAGCAATAGCTCCATCTTGGGATGAGAGTGGCTTATCTTTTCCACAAAACATCCTTGATAAGCAGTCGATGGCATCTCGCTTGGATTCTGGCGAAGAGGAAAAAGAAGAAAAAAGACAGTGAGAATTAGTCTTCTCCTATCCAATGACGAAAATGTTGGCAGCATTCACTTACCATGCTAGGAGTCATTGATGGGATTGCAGATATGGGATCACGGATGGTACATTTGAAGGCGAGGCGCTCTGAATCGATTTTTGAAAAGGAAATAGCAATGAGAAAATAAAGAGAAAACATATGCCCAAATTCACAATCCAACATGCTTTCACTTACCGGAATGGTTGACGGAGTCATCGACGGAAGGCCACTTGGAACCTCACTGGGTGAATCACTTGGTATCACGCTTGGCATCAGACTTGGTAGTATACTTGGTAGTGCAGTGGGGCCGCCGCTCGGGACGCTGCTCGGACTATCACTTGGAATCACACTGGGCATATCACTTGGAACCGCACTGGGAGAGACCGAAGGAACGTCAGAGGGGACTTCCGATGGGACCATACTCAATGAAGGAACATCACTTGGCATGCTACTGGGTAATATACTCATCGACGGAGCTTGACTTGGTCCCGGAAACTGGACGGAATATCCCGTCTGTTCCCGGTAGTTCACGAGAATGGGAACATCCAATAAAACAGCTCCGCTTTCACCATTTGGACCTCTACTCTTGACGTACACCTTCTCTGGAATGAATATAGCAGGTAGAGCACCGATCCGTACAAGCTCAAAGATTCCTGCCACGACTTCTTCCATATGAATCTCCACAAAGTCCAAGTCCAAGCCATCGCCACCAACGCCATCTTGAGTCCTTCTTTGAAAGCTACCCGAAGACCCAAATACTGCTTCTTCTTCCGAACAACCATCGCATGTCACCCATGTCTCAATTACCAAATCCAGTACTGACACTTCATCACCACCGGGAGGTACCGAAAACGTTTGGTCCGCGAGATCGGCATTTGTCATCTCACGCTTATACTCATCGACACATACGCCTTCTTCGGTGGTTGGACCCTTTGTCAATGCGTTGTACGACGATAGTACAATCGGCTCGATCAACGCAGCTTCCTCTTCCGTAAAGACCCTTTCGAAACCCTCAAAGGTCATCCGCAGCTCGCCTGGGTAGAAGCTAGGATCCAATAGTCCGCATGCGGATGGTTTTGGAACATTCGCCAAGAGGTCCCCATTTTCGTCGGTCTCGATGATGATGGGCACGTTCAACAACGGTTCCAATGCTGTGCCTTGTCCACCTCCATTTCCGTTGGACCCGGCTTGGGTCGGAGGAAGGATTGATACCTTGTTTGGAAGAAGGCTCGCTGAAAGAGTATCATTATTGACCAGACCCACCATCCGAGCAATAATCTCGCGAAGAGCGACCTCCATCATTCCAAAATCATATGTAAACTCGCTGACAGTATTTGTTTCATCAGCTGTCCCAAACAACGGAGTCACATTGGAACATCCATTGCAGATAAGCCATGTCTTGAAAGTCATCTCAAGTGCTGACACTGCGACATCCCCTTGGCTTGATACAAACTGCTGGTCTATGAGCCTTGCCCTGGACATTTCTCGTTGTTACCTGTCATCGCAGTGTGGCTGTGCAGTGCTACCGACGGCCACATAATTGAAGGTGCCCAACATCAGCTCCTCGATTACCCCAATCTCGCCAGTCGCAATCACTCGGGAGACGCCTTGCAGTGATATGCGCCAGATGCCGGGATAGAATTCTGGATTAGATGAGCCACAAGCCGAAGTTCGAGGAAATATCACCTCTCGACCATTGGTTGACGTAGGGTCTTCGTATCCGATTGGCAAATTCAAAAGCATCATAGGGGTACTGTCTTTGCCTTCAGAGTCAATGAATGATGACAGCGGTTGGCCCTTGATTCCAATCTTCGACGGGATGAACGACTCTGCCAGCTCCCCAGAGTCAGCCAATTCAACAATCTTCCTTGCCACGTCTTTCAACAGTTGATCGAGGAGGCCAAGATCCACTTCCACCTCCTCAACGCTTTGCAATCTACGACTAATGGATGGGCCATTATCGGTTGCATACCGACCAATCATTGGCAGACCATCGGGACATCCATTGCAAATCACCCAAGAATCAAACGTCACGTCAAGTGTTGATGGATCCTCGTCCTTCCCAGCATTGAATACTTGATCTAACATTGTCGAATTCTGCATTTCTCGCTGATACGCATCAGCACAGCCAGCAACTTCTTGATTTGTTCCCCTAGTAATGAGATTGTACGAGTCCACCACCAAGGTTTCCACCAATTGCTGTTCTCGAGCATTAAACCCTCGCTCGAATCCTTCAAATGATAGATCAATGGTTCCGTTATGAAAGACGGGAGACTCAATCCCACAAGTCGATACGATCTGAAACGGTATCCGTGGAGTCGCAATTACTGTCTCAGAAAATCCAGCGGATGCTGCAATACTGGAGGCAACTACAACAGTCGTACCAACAATAGCGACCATTGCCAGTTGCGTGGCTCCAGCTGCGACGCCTGCTGCTGCCATGGCACTTGTTGCTGCGGCACTTGTTGCTGCGGCACTAGCTGCAGCTGCTCCAGCTGCGATTCCAGCGGATGCCCCTGAAGCGGCTCCACCTGCTGCGCTACTTGCCGCCTGAGACGCCATCGATTCCATACCACTGAGAGAAACAAATTAGTAGTTAGTTACGATTCATTCAGCAACTAGCTTGCATGCAAAATAAGAGTTCCCAAATATACTTACGGTGGAGCACTTGGCCCAGTGGGTCCCGTTTGGCCTTGTCCTTGTCCTTGTCCTTGGCCGTGTATATTGGGATTACCATCCACGGGAATCTCGTCTGGATTCACCATTTCTGGATCATCATGACCATCGTGATCGCGATTGTTCTGTCTTCTGCCAGATCTCTTTTGGTTCCCCCGACATCCTTCGAAGCATTTTATAATCCATCGTTTTGACATCATGGCGACGCTGAATATCAAGATAGATGCCATCGTAATGGTGTGTTCGATGTCTTGTTCCTCAACGTCCTGAGTTTCTTGAGCAGTTGGTTCCTCAAAAGACTCAGTTTCAGAATCGGCATCAGATAAATCTTCTCGTTTTTTAAGAATAAGACGAAATTGGATTTGGATCCGTTTTGCGGCCTTGTTCAAGTACAATGCCAACCTTTCACTCTCATCCATACCAACTTGCTGCTCTATGGAGGTTTCATGCTTGTCGGAGGGTACAATAGCACTAAAACGAACATGTTCCTTGGACCGGCGTCTTGTACCACTGTCTAGACTCATGTCCCTGTGTCGTTCACTGCTCTTGCGTCTGCTTGGCTTGCTTCTTTTGTCTCTACTACCACTTCTCCTGCCACTTTTACTTTGGCGATATTGACGACTACTGTTGCTCTTGTCGCGATGGCGGCGTTCGTCATGTCCAAAGTTGGTTGCATCTTCAATTGGAACAGTATCATCCCAATCATCGTCTGAATCAGAGAGTGAGGAAACGCTGGTCCTCGGTAGCCTACTCTTGCGCTTGTCTTGATAGAATCGATTTGAATCTCCAGCATTGTGTGCATCTTTAGTTAGAACGTTGATATCATCCCAACTATCATCTGAGTGAGAGCGGCTTCTTCGTAGCTTGGGTCTTCTGTCGTGTCTGCGCCTTCGATGCGAATGTCCATCAGCAGGTAGAAGGTCTTGAGCTATGTCCAATCCAGCCATAGAAACAGCGTGTGACGTTGGCATACTGCGCGTACGCCCATATGCCTTCCGCCGATCTTCTTGACCGTATTCATCATCATTTTCTTTCAAGTCTCCACCGGCAAAATCTTCCTCCCATTCACTACCAGAATCATCCGACTTCCCAGAAGACGAATTAAATTGGCTTTGCATTGGTGTATTCAGTTGGCTTCCATTTTCAACTGCCTCATCTGCAATAACTTCCCCAATTGCAGCTGCATCATTGCCCCAGTCTGCCTCAGAATCAGAATCCACCATCGGTATCGTCCAATGCACAGCGCAACAAGGGTTGTTAGATGGCCGTGGAGATGATTGGAAGATATGGTGGATATATGTAGGTCCAGTGGAGGTAGGTTGCGGAAAGTGAAATGTTTGCTAACACGAAATTAAAACAGCAAAATGTCCCATTGTTGCAGCAGTTCTAGAGGTCAGTACTGTACGCTTTTTCCAAACTTGAAATATTTATGGCTCGTCCCACGCTTTTTCCATTTTCCGGTTGGACATATTGAAAATATTTATTTTATTATGCCCATATATAAAAATAGAAAAAATACATAAATGTTGTTCTTCTTTCAGGAAGCTATAAAGGCCCACAGTCACGATGCTATGATTGGCTACTGAAAATGGCTCAATAACTTCCCGAAGTTGAACAGCGTTTGAATAAAGTTATTGGCACATATCGGTACTACATGTGTATACTCTCAGATTGAAGATAGCCCCTGCCTTACGTCATTAGAATATTCTTTCAAGTCTTCCACAGAGTTATCTTCCTCCCATTCAGTACCAGAATCAGACGCATTGAATTGAATTTGCGTCGTGGATTATCCAGTTGGCTTGCCTTTTCAGCTGCAACGTCGCCAACTGCAGCATCATTGCCGCAGCCTGCCCCTGGATCAGAATGCTCCATTGGCGTCATCCTAATGAACGCACACCGCAATAAGGGCTATTGCTAGTGTTGACTATCTGCGATATACAATTATAGGTACGAGGAGGTGTTTTGGTGTTTTTGTGGATATAACACTATTGATGCCTGTCAAGTCCATCCGCGGCAGGACCAATAATAAAAGTGTCGTGTTTCTTTAAAATACTTCCGTGAAGCCCCATGGAATTTGTGTACTCGTACCTATGGAAGATAGCCAACTGGCGCCTTCCGTTCTGGTTCTTCTGCTTGGTGTTTGTTTGGAGTGACTCAGGTGGGTTGTGGTGTGAAATAACTCTATCTTTCTGTCAATATACTTGCACACAAGTTCGATATGGTTGCTGTGGTACAATACTATCGCCTGACCGTCGTTCATCGAGTCAATATTTAATCCATTGGTTCGACCGCTTTCTTCCGTCTATACGTTATTAGACCTGTGATTCGTCACGTCTTGTAGTGTAGTAATCGCATAATCATTGCCCCAGCCTGATTCTAGAGAAGAATGATGCGCTGTTTATATCTTCCAAATGGATGAAAGGATGAACAAATAGAGGGCCTGATGAGAGTCTCTTGGAAGTCATTGCCAGACTTATCATGAGTACAGTATTTTCGAACATTCCGAGTACTTGGCTTTGCACACTCAACTACCTATACCTGTAGCAAAAAGAATGTTTACATTCTTGAAAAAGGGGAGCGGGCCTAAGTCAGGGCACCAATCATCTAAAGGGTAGGTTTACATTGGAAGAATGATAGACATGATTATTTATTCTGGATCAATTACAATTTGCAGTTCTTCAGTAGACAGTAGTTGTCGCTTTGTCGCAGCTCTTCATCGGACATCCAAGTTATCCGCTTCCTTTTTGGCTGTACGACCTTCATTTGTTTATTCACTGTATTGGAAGTAGGATTCCTTGGAAATCTTTCTAGACAAGTATACTCCCAAATACGATGATACCAAACAAGCAGGGAGCATTGGGCTAAGCTCTGTACCTGCAGACGCGGAAAGGCTCAGCATGAGTACGGTCGCCAATGGAGTCCTAGTGACTGATGCTTGCGTTGCCGCCATCAGACACATGACTGCTAATGGAACTACCGGCGAAATGCCAGATGTCACAGATCCCAAAAAAGAACAAGCAGCATGTGCTATGGGTGCAGCGGCAAAGAAAAGTGGGAAAATGATGCCCCCTGGGAACTTTCCCGCACAGGCCAGGGCAATTGATATTAGCTTTGCAACTCCGACTTGCATCGCTGCGAAAGCAGTCTCAAAGGGAAGGTTTGGGTTCACTTGGGCATGGCTCGTCAAAAGGTTGGAAATTCCATGCTTGGTGGCAGCAAAGGCAGTCGCCTGACCATCCACGACGCATTGAAGACTACCTTCTCCCCAAAATAGAGTCTGTGGGAACTTCGAGCTCAGGATTCCAACTGTAAGTCCAATCAAAGCCTTGGCCATGACTTGTCGCTTACCGCTGAACCCTCCCCTCTTTTTGTCATTGGCACTGGCTGGCCATGCGATATCTTTTAATAGATGAACTAGTTTGTGAAAGATGGTTCCGATGAAAGCTCCGCCCAAACCACAGATTGCAGCGGTAGCCATCATTGTGCGCCCACTGAGCACATCAATTGATCCATAGGCAAAGTGCCCGCCGACTGCTTTGGCTGGAAGAAGAATACCACGAATCACAGTGATGGCAGCAATACTCGACAGAATCGATGGGGACAAGGCTCTGTCGCTTGAAGCAGCAAGGCCAGCATTGGATCGGGTCAGTTCTAGTGCAAATATGGATCCCGCTATTGGAATTCCCATAAAAGCTGTCAAGGCACCTGCTGCACCGGCATAAGCCAAGACTTCTTGCTTGGATTTGGAAGCCTCTGCATTGCCATACCAGTATTTTGCCAATGAAGACCCCAACAGGGCACCAGCACAAACCATGGGTGCTTCAGGTCCGACCGAGAAGCCAAAGCTCGAAGTCACGAGTGATAGAAGTAGGAGTGGGAATAAATGGACGCGGCTTTCTGGAAGACTCTTGGCTGGTACATTCGAAAAGGAAGCTACAAAATCTGCCACTGTAAATGTGGACGAGAATTTGGCCGACAAGAGACCCATGAGGATTCCACCCACTGTGCATGTAGCAGTAATGAAGTATGTAGGGTGAAGAGAACCAAATCTTTTAAAGAAAAGACTGGGGGCTCTGTGCCAAACAGTGCTGACGCAAGTAGACAATACCTTTCCATACACAAATCCCATGGCTGCCGTAATCACACCGACTGTCAAGGAAGCTGGAACTTCTCCCAATGGCGCCGTATCCGAGGATGCTGATGCAAAGATAGACGCTTGTTTCGTTTCGGTTGGCAATTCGTGGCTTGTGGAAGCAAAAGAGGGAGCGAGCTGTCGTTTTTGAGCTCCTCCCGAAAATAGCCCCTTGGAGGAAGTTTCTGTGATCAGAGCAGAAGTGCCATGCCCATTGAGTATCAAAAAGAGCAACGAAATAGCGCTTGTTGGTCTCATTTGTGCTTGTATGGGTTGCTGTACCAGCGTTGGCTGCTAGAAGATTGCGTTGTTGGTCCGCATTATTATTCGTCAAAATCGATGGTTCATGGTTGATTTAAAAGGTGTCAAAATCTGATTTTCCGGCATCCAACACGTCACACACGCCTTGCAGTCGACCGACCCTCAGGCATTTCCGTTGAGTCCCGATTGCGGATTCGAACAAGTCCCAAGATTCGATCCAACGACCGCTGAATGGCCAATTTTTGGACTCAAAATTGCAATCCGACGACATCTACCTCACGCATACTCTTTAGTTTTGGAGATGCCTAGTGATTTTGCACATACAGTGTCCCTCTTCCTTCCTATCCATGACAGTGTTCTCGATGGATCCGAGGCGGTATCGCCTCCAACAAACAATGCCGCCACAAGTAATAAATCTTGTGGACTACGACGACGAGGACGAAGAAGAAGTAATCAATTTGGTGGATCATCACGACGACGATAATGTTGAGGAAGAAAACGTTAGTTGGCTTCCGAAAAAGAACATAGGTGAGACTAGTGCTCATAGGTTTCGGGTCGATGACAATTCAACGATAGCTTCCAGATCCACAATGGGGCATCTGGATCAAAATTTGATACAGCTTCCGTTGTACGATGCCATGATGTGTACTGCAGCTACTCTTTTGGAACAGTCTCGAGAGGAGGAGGAATCACCGTATATTGTCCATTCCAACAAGCAATTACGATATGTGGAAGATCGAGAGGAAGCAGAAATGTATTTTGACTGCGCGAGCGATCCAAGAGAACTCTGGTTTGGTTGCCTACTGGATGCTGCTGGAGAAGCCGCCGAATTCCTTGGAGAAGGTCTTGTTGGCGCGAGCAACAGGGGTCATGAGCGCGCAACAAACCGTTTACTTGAGAGGCGGAAACGCTTGGATACAGGTAATAATAGAGTCCATCCCGATATTCCAGAAATTGTGGATGTATGCGACATTCAAGACCAAGAAGAACAAGAAGAGGCTCGACTAAGCCACCAAAAACACCAAAAAGACATGGAGATGCTGCTGCCGGAAAAGAAGAAAGACCCGCCAACCAAGCAAGAGCTCGAAGAAGCTACCTTCCCTCTGCTCGAGATCCACGTTCCAGATACTATAGAGGAGGAGGACGAAAACAAGAAGGACGACGACGACATGAGTAAACTATAGTGATAGCTGTCCAGCAATTGATCACTATGTTCTTCCTAAATCGTGTTAGGGACCACAACAAGGAGAGCGCATTAGAAAGTAGACAGGTGTCTAACGCGTGTATTCAAGCAGATGTAACAATAGAATCTGTGTTGTATTATTATCCTTTGATCCGACTTTTATGTTTTGAGATCTTCTTCATCACGATCTCCATCGAGGCCTAAGCAAGTACTTTCATTTTTCGCGCACTTTCAACTTCCATAAAATATATAGGTACACACTTTCAACTTCCATATACACGGTATATATCCAATAACAGATGTCACCGACAATATATAGTAACAGGTCCCCGCCGCTTCATCGCCATTTTCATCATCAACATGCCGACGTCTTGTCGAGATATCAATGAAATATCGGGCATCTCAGAATTTCTCCGATCTAAACTTTTGAACCCATCACAAGACTGCGTAGCATACTGTAGACGGCAAGACTGACATTTTTCGTTGGGATTCTTACACGGTTATGACAGACATCGCCTTTTTATTCAATACGCGTTTGAGTTCCTTCATTGACCCCGCCGTTCCATTCATTCGTTCAATAACAAAGGAAGCCATTAACAAACCATGAATACCAATATCTCAGTTGAGGAATCCACTGCACCGGTGGAAATCTTCCGCACGGACTATGAACCCTTGCCGCACGCTGTCACGAAGATTAATATGGATTTCAACTTGAATGATCGCAAAACCATTGTGACTTCGGAGCTCACCATTCAGCCAAACAAATTATACAAGGGTAATTCCAAGGACCTTCCATTGGATGGTGAAGAAAAGATCGTCAAGCTGTTGTCTTTGTCGATGAATGGCAAGGACCTGAAAGAAGGTGATGACTTTACATTGGCACCCGGCAAACTTGTCATTAAGAATCCTCCTGCTGGAGCTGTTCTCAAGACGGTGGTTGAACTTGTCCCAGAGGATAATTTCAAACTATCGGGTCTCTACAAGACCGGTCCCATGTATTGTACACAGGTAAGTTTACGAATGAATGAATCAAGCAATCGCTTGATTCGTGCCATCAGACAATCGGACGCGTGCTGATTGTGTTTGTGTGTTCTAAATCCCAGTGCGAAGCCATGGGATTCCGCAGAATCACATACTATCCTGACCGTCCCGACAACATGGCCATTTTTGAAAAGGTCCGACTCGAAGCTGACAAGAAAGCATACCCCGTCTTGTTGGCCAATGGAAACATGATTGACAATGGTGATCTTGATGGTGGACGCCACTACGCAACATGGACCGATCCTTTCCCCAAGCCAAGTTATTTATTTTGTTGCGTAGCTGGTGACTTGGGTAAGATCCATGATACCTACACCACAATGTCTGGTCGAAAGGTCGATCTCCAAGTCTTTAGCGAAAGCCACAACGTCCATAAGCTCGATTATGCTATGGAATCTTTGAAGAATAGTATGAAGTGGGACGAAGACAGATTTGGACTCGAATATGATTTGGACCTCTACAACATTGTTGCCGTGGACTCGTTCAACATGGGAGCCATGGAAAACAAGGGTCTGAACGTTTTCAACACTGCTTACGTCCTTGCCGATAAGGATACTGCCACGGATTCCGACTTTGAACGTGTCGAAGGTGTGATTGGACACGAGTACTTTCACAATTGGACAGGCAACCGTGTGACCTGTCGTGATTGGTTTCAATTGACTCTGAAGGAGGGTTTGACAGTGTTCCGTGACCAAGAGTTCTCGGGTGACATGAACTCAAAGGCCGTCAAACGTATCGAAGACGTCCGCGCTCTCCGAGGTGGACAGTTTGCCGAAGATGCCGGCCCAATGTCGCATCCTATCCGTCCAAACTCTTATATCAGCATGGACAATTTCTACACGTAAGAAACTGAAGTGTCTTGGAGAATTTGGTCTCCTTGTTCTTGACGACGAATGCTCATATTTTCTTCTCCATGGATACCCAGTGCTACAGTATACAACAAGGGAGCTGAAGTGATTAGAATGTATCAAACCTTGCTCTCTGTGGAAGGTTTCCGTAAGGGAATGGATCTCTACTTTGAACGACACGACGGATCAGCTGTCACCTGTGATGACTTTTTGGCGGCCATGGCGGATGCCAATGGAGCTGATTTAAGTCAGTTTTCGCTTTGGTACTTTACCAATGGAACTCCAGTTGTCACGTATGACGCCAAGTATGAAAATGGTACCTTTACTCTATTACTGACTCAAAAGAGCAAGAGTGACAAACCATTGCACATTCCCATTTCGGTTGGTCTTTTAGATAAGGCATCTGGAGAGGAGGTTGTTCCCACAAAGGTGCTGAACTTGAAGGAGATGACCCAAGAATTCAAATTTGATGGTCTTAAGGGAGAAGTTGTGCCCTCCATTCTTCGAGAGTTTTCTGCTCCTATCAAGCTTATTTCTGCTTCCGGCAAGGAAGATGAGGAAGCTCTGGCCTACTTGGCAGCTCGCGATACGGATGGTTTCAACAAGTGGGAAGCTTCTCAAAAATTGTTCACTTCGCTAATCTTCCAGGCAAAGGATGGTGGAATGACTGAGAAGACTTATGGATATGTCAAGGAGGCATTTGGACGAACCTTGACTAACAAGGAATCCAAAGATTATTCCATCATTGCGTATGCTCTTATTATGCCAACACAGAACACTCTTGCCGAGTTGGTAGACGTGGTGGATCCAGTCGCAATTCACAAAGCCCGAGGTGCTGTCAAGAAGCGCCTTGCCCGAGACTTTGCTACTGAATTGAAGGAACGATATGACGAGCTAACGGCGGCAATGGAAGGAGCCGAGTTCAAGGTCGATTCGGAATCCATCGGAAGGCGCCGTCTACGAAATGTCTGCTTGGGCTACCTTTGTGAGATCTACGAGACACCAGAGGAACAAAAGGTTGCTTCTGAAATCGCAATGGCTCATTTCAAGAATGCTTCGGGAATGACCGATAAGGCCGCCGCACTCGGGGCATTGGCTTCCATGGATGGGGAAGGGGCAACTGCTCGTGATGAGGCTCTGGAGATCTTCTACAATGACGCCGCTGGTGATTTTTTGGTATTGAACAAGTGGTTCACAATCCAAGCCATGGCTGACTTGCCCGATGCATTGGATCGTGTCAAGAAGTTGAAGGAACACCCTGACTTTACTCTAAAGAACCCCAACAGATGCAGATCATTGGTTCGTGCATTTACTGCCAACGTTGCATTCCACGACGAAAGTGGGGCAGGGTATGCCTTCTTGCGGGAAGTCTTGGAAGAATTGGACACGCTGAATCCTCAAATCTCCAGTCGAATGGCGGGTGCTTTGATTTCATGGAAAAAGTACAACGAGAAGCGGGGATTGGTCATGAAGGCGGAACTTCAGAAGTTGGCGGACATGAAGCCAATTAGTGCCGATTTGTTTGAGATTGTAAGCCGAGGCTTGAAGTAGGACTAATGGGTTGACACTCCAAATTCATAGACGATAGATGCACTAAAAAAATAAATGGTTGCGCTTCAAAATGATAGATCCTCCTAGGAAACGATACGGTACAGTAGGTCCCAAAGTTTTGGTGCTTACTTTATGACTGACTGACTCGGTCGACCTGATACTGACGTCAGGATTTCAACACTTCGAAACGGATCTTCCTGAGCACGGAGCTCTGAGGTTGCAATGGTGACACTCGATGTTTACGATCGCCAACACCAGAAACCTACTTCGTTCCTCGGCAAGCCGCATAACAAAAGGCAGCTATCTTCGGCCCAGAGGAAGCTTTCTAAAGTATCACAGACCAGAAGAAAATATGAAGCTATTTGGATCCAAAGCATTTTCAGTGTTCTTGCTGTCAAATGCAGTCACATCAATTGCTTTCCGACCTGTGTCTTTTGGAAAGCAAGTCAAACAACAGATTAGCAGTCAGCAGTGCGGATGGGGAGATCAAAAGTGTTTGGCTGCACGTGGTGGGAGTACGCTTTCTTCAGCAACAACCACCGTCTTGAACAGCGCAGTCGCGTCGGAAGAAACCGCAGCACCAGTGGAAATCTTCCGTAAAGACTACGAACCCTTGCCCCATCTTGTTGAAAAGATCAATATGCTATTTTCAATTGAAGAGGGAAAGACAATTGTCACTACAGAGCTATTCATTGAGCCAAATGAATCCTACAATGGGAAATCTCGTGACTTGACACTTGATGGCGACGAAACTTGCGTCAAGCTTCTGGCCCTTTCGTTGAATGGAAAGGATTTGGAAGAGGGAACGGACTACACACTTGCACCTGGCAAGCTTATTTTGAAGAATCCACCTGCTGGAGCCGTCCTAAAGACTGTGGTCGAAATTGTTCCTGAGGACAACACACAACTTTCTGGATTGTACAAAGACGGTCCAATGTATTGCACACAGGTAAGTCGAGCACTGGAGGTCAATCGTCCAATCAAAGGATTCCTGCATTCTAAGCCATCTATTTTTGAGTCAAACAGTGCGAAGCCATGGGATTCCGCAGAATCACATACTACCCCGATCGTCCAGATAACATGGCCGTTTTTGAAAATGTGCGACTGGAAGCCGACAAGGAAGCATATCCCGTCCTGTTGGCCAATGGAAACATGATTGATTCTGGTGACCTTGGTGATGGACGTCATTATGCCACATGGACAGACCCTTATCCTAAGCCAAGTTACTTGTTTTGCTGTGTCGTTGGTGATTTGGGCAAGATCCATGATACCTACACCACAATGTCTGGTCGAAAGGTCGATCTCCAAGTCTTTAGCGAAAGCCACAACGTCCATAAGCTCGATTATGCTATGGAATCTTTGAAGAATAGTATGAAGTGGGACGAAGACAGATTTGGACTCGAATATGATTTGGACCTCTACAACATTGTTGCCGTGGACTCGTTCAACATGGGAGCCATGGAAAACAAGGGTCTGAACGTTTTCAACACTGCTTACGTCCTTGCCGATAAGGATACTGCCACGGATTCCGACTTTGAACGTGTCGAAGGTGTGATTGGACACGAGTACTTTCACAATTGGACAGGCAACCGTGTGACCTGTCGTGATTGGTTTCAATTGACTCTGAAGGAGGGTTTGACAGTGTTCCGTGACCAAGAGTTCTCGGGTGACATGAACTCCAAGGCAGTCAACCGCATCGAGAATGTCCGTGGTCTTCGAGCTGGACAGTTCCGCGAAGATGCCGGCCCAATGTCTCACCCCATCCGACCTGATTCCTACATTAGCATGGATAATTTCTATACCGCCACGGTCTATTCCAAGGGTGCCGAGATTATTCGCATGTACCAAACCTTGCTTTCGGTGGAAGGTTTCCGCAAGGGAATGGATCTTTACTTTGAACGACACGACGGATCAGCTGTTACTTGCGACGACTTTTTGTCGGCAATGTCGGATGCTACTGGCGTCGATTTGAGCCAATTCGCCCTTTGGTACTCAACCAATGGAACTCCAGTGGTCACTTACGACACGAAATATGAAGATGGAACATTTGTATTGACTTTGACTCAAAAGAGCAACAGTGACAAACCACTTCACATTCCAATTTCTGTCGGACTTTTGAACAAGGAGACTGGCGAGGAAGCCGTGGCCACAAAGGTATTGGACCTGAAGGAGATGACCCAAGAATTCAAATTCGAAGGCCTTAAAGGAGATGTTGTGCCTTCTATTCTCCGTGAATTCTCGGCTCCCGTGAAGTTGTTGCCTGCATCCGGCGAGGAAGATGAGGAAGCCTTGGCATTTTTGGCTGCCCGTGATACGGATGGATTCAACAAGTGGGAGGCTGGACAAAAGTTGTTCACTTCCTTGATTTTCCAGGCCAAGGACGCTGAAATGACTGATAAGACCTACGACTTTGCCAAGGAGGCCTTTGGTCGAACCTTGACTGATAAGGAATCCAAGGACTACTCTATTCTTGCTTACGCCCTCATCCTTCCATCCGAGGGAACCCTTGGCGAGCTGGTGGATGTCGTCGATCCCATTGCGATCCACAAGGCCAGAGGTGCCGTCAAGAAGAGATTGGCACGGGAATTTGCCACTGAACTGAAGGAACGATATGATGAGCTAACTGCAGCAATGGAAGGATCCGAATTCAAAGTCGATGCTGAGTCTATTGGAATGCGTCGCCTGCGCAACGTCTGCCTTGAATACCTCTGCTCCATTCGCGAAACACCGGAAGAGCAAAAGACTGCAGCCGAACTGGCCATGTCTCATTTCAAGAAGGCTTCCGGCATGACGGACAAGGTTGCCGCACTCGGGGCCTTGGCTTCGATGGATGGGGAAGGAGCAAGCGCTCGTGATGAAGCCTTGGAGACATTCTATAAGGATGCTGATGGTGATGCTTTGGTGTTGAACAAGTGGTTTTCACTTCAAGCCATGGCCGACCTGCCCGATATTTTGGATCGCGTCAAGAAGTTGAAAGAACACCCTGACTTTACTTTGAAGAATCCCAATCGTTGCCGATCATTGATTGGTGCTTTTGCTATGAATACTGCATTCCATGAAGAAAGCGGTGCCGGATATGCCTTCTTGCGCGAAATATTGGAAGATCTAGATCAATTGAATCCTCAAATCTCTAGTCGAATGGCGGGATCATTGATCCAATGGAAGAAGTATGACGAAAAGCGGGGACAAATAATGAAGGCTGAACTGCAAAAGTTGGCGGACATGAAGCCAATCAGTGACGATTTGTTTGAGATTGTCAGCAGAGGTTTGAAGTAAACAAGAATGTAGTAAATACTAAAAATAATTGACAGCGGCTATGATAGGGAGATCCGTTGCGAAATCTGTCTTTCATATTGAAGTAGTGCTCAAAGCCATGTTCTACATAAGTTATGGGTGCTACGGAATGCTCGATAGATGCAGTCGGAGATAGGCATGCGCGTCCCTCCGCGCAGGGATTAACACAACCTTGCCGACGCTC